CTTAATTGGGATTATCGTACCCCCTATGAAAAAATCCCTAACAAGTTACGAATAAGGACTGTTATGTATTAGGGGAAACATCCCAGGATCCTACTCACCTGGGAGCTCCTACATTGAAGGTAAGGCCCCAAGCCCCCCGCCCTAAACCCTGAAATCCTGCGCCCTAAACCCTAATCACCACAGCCCTAAACCCTGAAATCCTAAACCCGAAGCCCTAAACCCTAAACCCCACGGCCCTAAGCCCTAAAACCCTACACGCCCTGAACCCCATAGTCCGAAGCCACAAGCCCCAAACCCCCAAGCCCCGAAACCCAACAGATCCTGAACCCTAAGCCCGACATCCTAAATCCAAAACCCACCCTGAGCCCTACACCCTAAACCTCGAACCCCTAAAACCCGGAACCCTCAACCCAACAAAAAAACCCAAACAACCCGGAAGCTCTCCTGCACCCCCCAACTACCCTTCAACAAAGGCAAGTTCTATACCCTACTATTATGGTTAAAGGGTAGTTTGGGGTTGATCCCCAAACCCTAAACCCGAAACCCTAAACCCTAAACCCTAAACCCTAAACCCTAAACCCTGGCTGAGGCCCCTTGCCGCGCCACTTAGCGCCTGGAGCCCGGAGCCACGGATGGCCACGAGCACAACCCGGCCCTGAGGACAGGGTTTAGGGTTTAGGGTTTAGGGTTTAGGGTTTAGGGTTTGGGGTTTGGGGTTTGGGGTTTGGGGTTTAGGGTTTGGGGTTTGGGGTTTGAGGTTTGGGGTTTGGGGTTGAGGGTTTGGGGTTGAGGGTTGAGGGTTGAGGGTTGAGGGTTGAGGGTTGAGGGTTGAGGGTTGAGGGTTGAGGGTTGAGGGTTTAGGGTTTAGGGTTTAGGGTTAGGGTTTGGGAGCACGATCAGGGCTGAGGGCCTTAGTGTGAATAGAGGTTAGGGGTTTTCGGGATTTCACGGCTTTGGGGGCTTGAGGGTTTGGGGTTTTGGGTCTAAAGAGATTTAGGGTTTTAGGGTTTGAGTTTTAAGGCTTTCGGGTTTAAGGGCTTAGGGGTTTGGGGTTTGCGGCTTGAGGGTTGGGAATTTAGGTTTGTACTGGGCTTTTTGAGCTTCAGCGACTTCGATGTCGCCCCTGTACACAACCTCGCAGTGTCTGGATGTGACTGAAAGGGTTAAGACCCTTAATTCTAAACACTAAACCCTAAACCCTAACCCCTAAACCCCTACCCCCTTAACCCCAAACCCTAATCCCCTAAACCCTAAGCCAAGCACAATGGCTCCGTGCGCCTCGGGAAGCGCGTTGAGATCTGCAGCCATCTGGCTGACCGCCTCAGGAAGGCGGTTTAGGGTTTCGGGTTTCGGGTTTAGGGTTTGGGGCACTGAGCATCAAGTCGGTTGTCGAACTTTTTCCCTTTCTGGCGGTGCTTGTTGTCATATGTACTTTTACACTCTATACAAGAAGTTCATACAAGAATACAATCATAAACTAATATAACTATATCCTACATACTATATACTATATACTATATGCTATATACGATATACTATATACGATTGTATATATACCATATACTATTATATACTATATACTATCTACCAGACATTTCCTCGAACAGCCCACATGACCAGAGCTGGTGAAGGCTGATCCCGACCGAGGCTGAAGCAACGTTGCCACCGGAAGCTGTGTCATAGGACCTCCACCAGGGAGGGGAAAGCAAGCTTACAGGTTTAGGGTTTAGGGTTTAGGGCTTAGAGGTTAGGGTTTCGGGCTTAGGGAAAAAGACGGCAACAGGAGAAGTGATTGCACACCTACTGCCGAAATTACAGTCTCTGGTCAGTTCGCAAAGTACATGGAAGCTTCCGGCAATTGATTTCAACTTCCCCACCGACTACCAACACGGCAACTTGGGCGAGAAAGGCGTCTTCCCCCTTGAACCTTAAACCCTGAACCTTCAATCCGTTAAGATCTTGGCTCCTAAAGACCCTAAAGCCCTTAAAATCCCTAGACAATCCGAAATCCCTGAAGCCCTGAAAAAGACCTGAAAAGTCCCTGAAAAAGCTGATAACCCTACATCCTAATAATACAATCTTAATGTTAATAGCAATAATGATATGATGAAAACTGAGACAGTAATAGAATGAGAATAAGACTAATTATAAAATCTCTAATATAATGAAAATGGTGACTAGTTATACTATAATGATATCGTGAGAATACTAACAAGAATAACAAGAATAACATTAATAACAGTAGTGACAACCATAACAGTTAGAACAATAAGAACAATAAGAACAATAAGAACAACAAGAACAACAAGAACAACAAGAACAACAATAACAACAAGAACAACAAGAACAACAAGAACAACAAGAACAACAAGAACAACAAGAACAATAACCATAATCATAACAACAATGATAAGAGTAATCTTAAGCGTCACCCCTTCGGCTCGAAACTCGGCCAACGGGGCATGGCCGAGAGGATCTGCTGGGAGTCCGGGTCCAGGGTGACGATGTTGAAACCCCGCCTGTACCAGAGGAAAAGAGGGGCTCTATGGCCGCGGAGCTATGCTCATTTTGATGAGTTTGGGTGGTTTTTTGCCTTTTTTATTGTTGCAACTTTTTGTTGTTTTTGTTGTTTTTGTTGTTTTTTGTTGTTGTGGTTGGTGTTCTTGTTTTTTGTTATGAGCATTGTTATTGCTATCGTTGGTACTGTTACTATTGTGATACTTGGCATTCTTGTCAAAACTGTTATTCTTGCTATGATTGTTCTTCTTGATATGGTTGTTCTTCTTGACATTCTTGTTATCTTGAAACTATTGTTATTCTTGTTGTGATTGTTACTGTTGTCATTATCGTGATTCTTCTCACTGTTGCTGGTTCTTCTGGTTATTGTCACTACATTTTGGTATATATGTGATTGTTCATAAGATACCCTTTGATGAAGCCGTCTTTTTGGCCGTACTTTGGGTAGGGGCACTTTAACTAAACCACGGCTGGCCGAACAAAAGGCTCCCGTCACAGACTCCTTCATTCCTAATTTTTAGGGTTGTTTAGGTTTTTTGTTTTTTTAAACTGTTTAGGGTTTAGGGTTTAGGGGGCAACCCTACATCCCCAAAACCCCTAAACCCTAGACCAAACCCTAGATCCCTAGAACCTACAAACCCCAGATCCCTAAATCCCGCACCCTAAACCCCAAACCCCGCACCCTAAAACCAACCTAAACCCTAAACCCTAAACCCTAAACCCTAAACCCTAAACCCAGCAGAGGGGCCTCTGCGCTTCGTGGAGCTGCCAGCGTCCGGACTCCAGTGGCACTTTGCGGCCATCTGCGCGAGAACATCTTCAGGGTTTTCGGGTTTTGGGCTCATGTAGGGTCTTGGGACCCAAAAGCCTTTTTTGGGTTTAGGGCTTTTCTAGGGTTTTGGGGACCCTATAAGCCCTTGAAGAACCTCCTTTTTGGGTTTGGGGCTTCTCTAGGGTTCAGGGACTCTTCAAAAGCCCTTCAAGAACCTCGGTGCGCATCCGAGCGCCTATGTAGAAGTCGGCTCGGTTGCCGTGGCGGTAGGTGGAGCTCACCACCTGGCAGAACAACGCTCTTGCGGATGCCCCTTTAGGGCTTCGGGCTCTTGGGCTGCAACTCTATTTACCTACGGTTTGGGATGTTCCGGGTACTAAAACTCCCTATTAAGGACAGTTAGTATCAAGGGGAGCATCCCAGCCTGCGGTTGCTTGGCAGTACCAACTAACTACCCCTAAAAATGAGTAGGTAGAACTCCCATAAGATGGTAGACAAACGGAGCGGGAGGCAAACCCTCAGCACAAGGGGGGATGCATTGGATGAGGGCTTCTCCCTGCACTGAAGTTAGGAAAAAAGGCTTGGGCTACAGGACAAGGATAGTGTCTTCATCTCGACTTTATCGCCGGCGACAGACTCCTCCGAACCTCGAGCCTGAATGCCTCCAACTACCCGAAACCGTAAACCCTAAACCCTAAACCCTAAACCCTAAACCCTAAACCCTAAACCCTAAACCCTAAACCCTAAGCCACCGGAGCGCAGAACGCACGAAAATCCGGGGCGAACCCTGAATGACAGGCCACAGGGCGCACCCGGGCGATCTTCCTCCGCTGCGGGTGAAAGCCCCCATCGTCTCCTACGCAAGGGTTCTAGGGTTTAGGGTTTAGGGTTTAGGGTTTAGGGTTTGGGGTTTAGGGTTTAGGGTTTAGGGTTTGGGGTTTAGGGTTTAGGGAAGCGATTGGTTCTAGGGTTGAATTGGGGTTGAGGGCTTTGGGTGGGGATGTTACCCCTCACACTAACGGTCCTCAATAGGCACTTGAAGTAACGTGAGAGTTTAGGGTTTAGGGTTTAGGGTTTACCGACGAACTGTCATGACTGGCAATCCTGTCTCGAGGCGGCCGGGTTCCGTGGTTGCGGCTTTGAGGGTTGCTATAGAGAGTCAGAATAAGTACCGCATATGGTTTCCTTATCGTCCCCATATGTAGTTATGTTGTACCATAATGCCCGCCCCCCCTCCCATGACCCTAGACCCCAGACCCTAAACCCTAAACCCTAAACCCAGGACCCTATTTTCTAATTGTTAAGGGCCCAATTGGTAACTAGGTTGCAGGACCTGGAAAACCCTGCGTGTCGAAGGGGGGGCAGGAACTTGCCAGGAAAGACTGTGTCTCAATTGCTCGATTCATGGCTTAGGGGACATGGCCCAGGACGGCAAGTCGACCCAAGAGTAGCCCAGGAGTGAAAGGGTGCCCTTTTTTGGTTTCAAGGGGCTTATAAGGGAACCTGAACCTCAAAAAAAAACAGAATAAGGGCCTACCCTGGGTCCTAGGTAACCATCTAATGCCACCACACCTTCCGATCCCTCTTTGCCGAGCGGTTCTGTCGCTGCCTCCCACAGATAAGAGGGGCGGAGACCCAGTCCTGCAAGCCACTGGCGATTGCAAGCTGTGTCTGCACCAAAAGACTGGCATTGCAGAGCCTGTGGATTCTGTCACCTCTTGCCGGTGGCTCGGGCCATTCTGGTTCCAGCTGGCTTCTTTGCGATGGATGGCTTGACCTTGGAACTCTTGCGCGCTGGCCTTTTCATGGCAGACTTTGCTCCTGCAGCTGGCTTCTTCAAAGGGGGAGGTTCTTGACCTCGCTTGCGGATGTCTTCCACGATCTTTGACGGATACCCATTGTCTTCTGCAAGGGCAGCAAGAACATCTGCATCTGTGACTTGAAAATCGCGACTCCTGTCACCACTTGGATGTCTCTTCAAAAGCTCCTGGACAACCTTGGCACGCGCAGGATTGTGAACCTTTCGTAGGACGGCTCTGAGACACGTCTCTCGCTGGACATGATGAGAACTTTGGTTGCCAAAGCCCCCTCTTTCATCTTCGCAGGCTACGTGATTTATGCGCTTGAACTCGGGATGAGACCGGATGAGTCTGACCAGCGACGCAGCAATGCTACCGGAATCGTCAGAACGAACGGTGGCCGTGTAGACCTGCACAGGATGGCCACCCTCCTCGGAGGACCGTGCGGTCCTAGGGCTGGGACTTTTGGCGTTGATGGTTTCAATCATGTCGCTGTGCTCTAGCACGGCTCCTTTCGAGTTGACGAACTTCACAGGCCCATGCTTCACTCGTTTTTTGCTCAGGTTTAGTTTGCTTTCTAAGCTGCCCACCACCTCATCACCACTCGCCGGCAGACTCGCAACATGTTCTCCAGTCAAGGCCGCGTGAATCTCCACCACGCATCTCGTGGGCTCGATGAGGATCCCGTCACAGACCATGTGCAGCAAACTGCAGCCCTCTCGGATGGAGTTGACCGTTGCTCGTAGCTTCTTGGCAGCTTGCCTCTTGGGAAGTGCCAGGTTGCGCTTCAGCAGCGCCAAGACTTTTCTGCCAGGCAAGTGCAAGGGATCTTGGCCTCCGCCATATGTGGGCATCAGAGGAAAGTCGACTGCACAGAATCTCTCATCACTGATGAGCTGCTTCATGATATCCTGGCCAAAGATCCAGCCTTGTTCGTAGTGCTCGTCGTGGCAGTAGTAAAGCGCGCTGTTCCCCTTGTTGTCCAGAGCATTAATCACCTTTGACGTCACTTTTGGGTGCCTCAGAGGATTCAAGCCTGACAGCCACCCACAGCCTCAGTTGGAATTTTGGGAGTCCCATCTGGCTGAAAGAACTCTGGAGTTTTGGGGGGGGGGGGGGGGGGGGGGAGGGATGTAGAGTTTTTGCCCTAGAACTGTTGCTGCTCTGCTCAGCTACAGAGCTGGAAGCAAAAGCAGAAAACCAACTACCCACAGACTTAAAGACGCCCCGAGAAGCTTAAGAACCAGTGGAAAGCAGGAGCCGTGAAGCTTCCCGAGAAGTTGAACTCCCCCTTCACGACCTTGGACAAGTTCACTTTGCTTGGGTGGCTTCTCATGTAGCCTTGGTAGCCGAGTAACCATCTTATAGTAAGGATACCCTTTCTTTTGGGGATTGGCTACTTTGTAGAGGAACCCAGAACCCCCCCAAAAAACTAAAGGGTACACCCTTGTTTGGGCTCCTTACTTGATAAGGGAACCCAGAACCCCGAAAACTCACTGTTGGTTAGCAGGGAATGAGGGAATTAGGGCCCTGCATATTAACCCTAAACCCTAAACCCTAGTATACCCTTTAAGGGATTCCATAGGGACAGCAAGAAGGGGGCAAAAGCGCGTACCAAGTGGGCTGCCAAGTGGCGCTCCGCTTGCCTGAGCATGTGCATCTCGTAGTCCGGCTCGCTTTCCCAGCTCTGGCTCTGAAGCCTTGGTAGTAACCAGCAACCAGATTAGAATAAGGGGGTTTAGGGTTTAGGGTTTAGGGTTTAGGGTTTGGGGTTCAGGGTTTAGGGGTTAGGGTTTAGGGTTTGCGGTTTAGGGTTTAGGGTTTAGGGTTTAGGGGGTACGGTTTAGGGTTTAGGGTTTAGGGATTGTAATGAAGGGTACCCTTGTTGGGGCTGGTTACTTAACAAGTAAACCTTGAACCAATAAGAGGGAAAAGGGTACCCACTGGGCTACCACGAAGCATGTCCACCACGAACCTCTCGAAACCACGCTTCTTGACTTCTTTTTCAAAGGTGGGCATCGGCCTGCCTTTGAAGTCTCTGAAGTCTTTGGCGCTTACAGAGCTTTCGCCGTCCAGGTAGTCATCAAACACACCTCCATACGGCTCATCGTCGTCGAAGGGACCGCCAGATTCATCTGACATTTCATCATCGTAGTCATAGTCCGACATTGCGGCTGTGAAGCGAAAGCGTTTTGGATTGGATGTGCTACCGACCTAGCAATGTTGCCACTGATATCCGCGTCGCCCATTTCTGTGCAAGACAAGTCGTACATCAACTAACCGAAAAACGAGTACAGCATAGCATGGCCATGAACAACTTTGTTTGGATCACCATTCTCCGGGATATTGCGAATTAAACATTGTTGTCCTTCTTCGAGTTCTTCAAGCTTCCATGCGAATGACATCGACCCTGCCGTGCCCTTGAAAGCGTGGAACATCCGCATCGAAGGCAGAGTCCGGACACATGGCGCGCCTTCCCTAATTTATTTGTGTGTTTGTTTTGTCCTTGTTTTTTTGTTTTTTGTTTGGGGGGGGGGGGGGGGGGGGGGGGGGGTGGCGGAGGTTGGGGTTACGGGTTTAGGGTGTAGGGTTCAGGGGTTTAGGCTTTAGGGGGCTTCGAGAGAGAGAGAGAGAGAGAGAGAGAGAGAGAGCTGCCAACACGAGCAACTGTCCTTTCCGCGCAGAGGGTCCAGTTTTCACTAGAACCTCAGCATCCACTATGTTTGGTGCGGGACAAGCCTGGATGCAGACGTAAGTGAATAAGTAAATAGTTAAATACGGCACATGCACACACATGTATATGTATATATATATATATATACACGTGCATATATGTGTATGTCCATAGTTATATGTTTGCGTGTGTACTTGTGCTTGTACTTGTTTCTGCATCCACATCTGCAAGCTTACCTCTTTGTGCACTTATGTTCTAACGGCATGTTCCGGGGCTACAATACATACATATATATATATATACATATATATACATATATATATATACATATATATATATATATACATATGTATATATTAAAAACATCCATACGCAATATACGTTGACACATCGATAGAGCAGACGCCCGAGGCCAACGCCCCAGGATCCGATGGCCAGAGACTCAGCAGGTCATGCAAAGGGCTCCGGTAGTCGAATGACCCATATTGACTCCCGAAGGCCTACACCCTGTGTGGGTTTAGGGTTTAGGGTTTAGGGTTTAGGGCTTTGCACCTTGAACCCTGGAAAACCCTGAGCCCAAAGACCCTAAACCTTACACACCCTTGCAACCGTAAGACCCGAACCGATAAGGCCTCAAAGCAGCAAACCTCACAGCCGAATTCTGTCTGAGCTCTGCAATTTCTCGGTTGGCCTCCTTCTAAAACCCTCTGAAAAACATCTTCCTGAATAAGCCTCATAAGCGCAACTCGGGAAGATGAGCAATTCCGAGGGCCTGCCTAGACTTCTTACGGCAGCTCTCTGTGCACCCGGCTTCTTGGGTACCTGGACCCTCTTGCTGCAGAAGGGGCAGCTGAAGAAGGGCGGCGGAGCACCTAGGCTTCAGGGTTTCAAGGGTTGCGGGGCTAGGGCAGGACCCCAACCCTACAAGCCCTAAAGCCGAAACCCTAAACCCTAAACCTTGAACCCTGAACCCTGAACCCTGAACCCCACACAACCCTACAACCGCCCTAAACCCTAAACCCTAAACCCTAAACCCTCAACCCTGAAACCTGAAACCTGAACCCTGAAACCGGAAACCGCCCACATTGCGCCGCGTGCACTCCAGAGGTCCATGATGCCTTGCTCGCCTCCTGGCGAAGGTCAGGGGCTTGGGATTTAGGGTTTAGGGTTTAGGGTTTAGGGTTTGGGGTTTCGGGTTTGGGGTTTGGGGTTTAGGGTTTAGGGTTTAGGGTTTGGGGTTTAGGGCTTAGGGTTTGGGTTTGGCGTTTAGGGTTTGGGGTTTCGGGTTTAGGGTTTGGGGTTGGGGGTTTAGGGTTTGGGGTTCAGGGTTCGGGTTTGCAGTCTAGGGTTTAGGGTTTAGGGGTTTGGGGTTTGGGGCTTGGGGTTTCAGGTTTGGGGTTTAGGATTTGGGGTTTCGGGTTTGGGGTTTAGGGGTTGGGGTAGGGTTTGGGGTTTAGGGTTTGGGGTTGAGGGTCTAGGGTTTGGGGTTTAAGGGGTTCAGGCGTTTAGGGTTTGGGGATTAGGGTTTACGGTTCAGGGGGTTTAGGATGTTCAGGAGGTTCAAAGGGTTTAGGGGGTCTAGGGCTGCTCCATTTTTGGGGGAAGACCTAAAGTTTCCGCACAAACGGAGGCACAACGACACGACAGCAGATGCAGAAACCCGAACGCCCTGAATCGCAAACCCTACATCATCTTAGTTGCTCAGTTCATCAGCCCCCCAAAAGGGTGCACTTTCAGTTCTATAGGAGGCTAGAGTATCCCAAAAAAGTGTAGAGTGTACTCATTCAGCTATGTACTATGAACATCTTGCCCCCCCCCCCCCCCCAGCACACCTAAACCCTTACACCCCTAAACCCTACGCCTCAAACCAAACCATTGTTGAACCCCTGACTCCGGCACTCCTGAATCTCTACCCCGCTAAAACCCCCAACACCCTAAACCACTAAATCCCTCATGTCAGAAGTCCCCACGCCCACAACCTCTAAACCCAAACCCCTACACCCTAAACCCCGCAGCCACGAAACCCCAACCCCTAAACCTCAAAACCCTGAACCCTAAACCCACCCTGCCTGGAACCTTTGTGGGCCACTGGGCTCCCGCCGCGCGCCCAGGTGGCGCGGAGCTTGGGCGCCTGGTAAACGAGCGTATCCGGTTTAGGTTTTTTCAGTTTGGGGTTTAGCAGTTTCGATCGGGTTTCGGGTTTAGGGTTAGGGGCTTAGGGTTTTGGGGCTTAAGGGTCAGGGACCAGTGCCAAATTGTAGGTTTAGGGTTAGGGCGCAGGGTTTGTCTCACTCTGGGGTTGGGCACTCCAGGGACCTCTGGAGACTCTCTGGGGATACTATTGGGTTGGGCACTGCAGGGATTCTCTGGACACTCAAAGGTTGCGCACTCCAGTACCTCTCTGGGGATATTTTGGCGCTGGACACTACAGGGAATTTGTTGGGGATACTCTAGGGCTGGGCACTCCATACACTCCATACTCCAGGCATTTCTGGGGATACTCTGGGGTGGGATGCGGGTGATGGGCGAGGAGTAGACCGGGCGAGGAGAAGAGCTTAGTTTAACAACCCCACTCCGAGGGTGGGGAACAACAGAACAATAAGAATTTGAACAAGAAAACTAATTTTCCCACGTAGCTTACATTCCTGAATGGGCATCGCAAAGGAAACATAGCCAAGCTTTTGTTGCTGGACTTCATGTCTTGTGTTGTGTGAGCCGTTCGCACGCTGTTACGGTGCACACTGCTGCACTTTCACGCGCAAGGTGCTGTGCAAGGACCTAGGCCCTATAGTGCTTTCCATGCCGGGATCTGAACAGGTCTCATGGAGCTCATGGTGTTTCATCTCTGTTTGCTCAAACAACTGACCGAGCAGTCCGCAAGAAGAAACTCGATCGTGGCTAGGAAGGCGCGCGCAGAAGTTTTTCAACATGCACATGTATATGCAAGCTTATGAGTAAAAGACAATCAAACCTTTCAATATGCATGTATGCATGCTGAAATTGGAATATACATACATAAATACATATTTAAATAAATACATATATAAATACATACATACATACATACATACATACATACATACATACATACATTCATACATACATTCATACATTCATACATTCATACATTCATACATTCATACATAGATACATACATACATACATACACAGATACACCTACGTATGAATGTCCACTTATATACGTATAACAAAAGAAGAAGAAGAAGACGTGTCGATGCTACTCATGATACTCATCAGAATCAAAATAGTAGTAAGAGTTTACCTAGGATGGCCCTTAAAATCTTCTGAAAAATATTCCTGAAACTGATCCTCTTAAACCCAGTAATGGGAAATGACAATTAAATATCACAAGGGCCTACCGGTTAGCCATGCCTACTTGTGGAGCCGAGCCCCCAGCGAAGCCCGTGCTTCGCCCAAGGATTTGAGCCCGGCGTCCTGGAAAAGGGAGGTCTAAAAACCCTAAAGGGTTTAGGGTTTAGGAGTCAGGGTTTATAGGGTTTAGGGTTTAGGGTTTAGGAGTCAGGGTTTTCATAGGGTCTAGGGCCTAGGGTTTAGGACTTCGGATTTACGGAATTTGGGGCGTTCGGGGGTTTAGGGGGGCGATTACAAGGAATTCGCGTAGGGTTCAGGGTGTTTCTCGGCTGTGGGGTTTCTGCGCGGTTTATGTGGGGGCTCAATGGCTGTGCATGGTCGAATTGCAGGGGTTTGAGGGCTTCTAGGGCCTGCAGAGTTCACGGTTGCGGGTTCAGAGGATTTTTGGGGGCATATGGTTCATAGTTTAGGGCTTCTGGGGCTTTATATGAGCCATGAGCCCATAGGGTTCAGGGTGAAGGGCTGAAAAGGGTTTTACAAAGGTGTCAAGGGCTTTGGGCTCGTAGGCGTTGAGGGTTCAAGGTCTGTGGCAATTGCTGCGAGCACCCCTAAAACCACCTGCCACCCGGCCTGGACCATGGCTGGCAATACTTGACGGACGAAGTTTAGGGTTTAGGGCTTAGGGCTTAGGGCTTAGGGTTTAGGGTTTAGGGTTTAGGGTTTAGGGTCTGGAAGTAGGCAATCGATTTGAGTTTAGGCCTGAACCTTACAAGGAATAGGGTAGGGTGGTTTTGCCGCCTGAGGCGGCGTGGGGTGGGGTGACAAATTTCGATGGCCCTCAACAATCGGGCCATGGGTGCTCGTCGCATTTCACGAAGCTTTCTATGCATCCCAACCTTCACCACTTCTGCGCCAAAGTACAGCAAACCCTAAACCCTAAACCCTAAACCCTGAACCGTAAGCCCTAAACCCTAAACCCTAAAACCCTAAACCCTAAACTCAACCTAAACCTTCCCAACCAACCCTTAAACCCAAAGCCCTAAGCTCCGCCGTCTCTCCCTCGGAGTCGGCCTTCCAGTGCGACCGCGAGCTTGGGCTGGACCTGGATTTGGGTTTAGGGTTTAGGGTTTAGGGTTTAGGGTTTAGGGTTTAGGGTTTAGGGTTTAGGGTTTAGGGTTTAGGGTTTAGGGTTTAGGGTTTAGGGTTTACGGTTTCTGGTTTAGGGTTTAGGGTTTAGCGTTTAGGGTTTAGGGCCCCTCTTACCCGAAAAGCACTCATCCCTGATTACCCAACCCCACAAGCCTGAAACCCTAGCAAAGTATCCTACGAGACCCGCAACAGCCGATGAAAAAGCCGTCTAAGCCCAAAAGCCCTATAAGCTTGAGGCAACTTGAACTCTGGATGTGCTGACCCTATCTACACCCCACAAAACTTCTAAGCCTACACAAGCCATTCCCAAAATTCTCAACCCTGAACCCTAAACCCTGAACCCTGAACCCTAAACCCTAAACCCTAAACCCTAAACCCTAAACCCTAAACCCTAAACCCTAAACCCTAAGCCCTGAACCCTGAACCCTAAACCCTCAACCCTAAAGGAAGCCGCGTCCTGGGCACCCTGCTCTCGGGAACGGGCTTCGCCCCTCCGTGGGCGCTCGGACCGGCCGGGGCTAAGCCCAAGCCTGCGCGCTTCTGGGGACTGTAGGGCTTTTCGGGTCACGTTTAGGGTTTAGGGTTTAGGGTTTAGGGTTTAGGGTTTAGGGTTTCGGGTTTCGGCTTTAGGGCTCGGTTGCGGGGGCTGTAGGGCTTGGGGCTACGTAAGGGTTGCATGGGGTTCTCTAGGGGTTGGGGTGTATATAGGTGTGAGGCTTCAGAGGGATTTGGGTTTTCGGGTTTCGGGGTTTAAAGGGTTTAGGGGGTTTAGGGTTTAGGGTTTAGGGTTTAGGGTTTAGGGTTTAGGGTTTAGGGTTTAGGGTTTAGGGTTTAGGGTTTAGGGTTTAGGGTTTAGGGTGTACACAGGATTGCACAGGGTTACCAGGCGTTATAGGGCTTATAGGGATTAGGGCTTAGACGGGCATATCGGTCTGACAGGATTTGTGTCTGATAGAGTTTAGGGTTTAGGGCCTACAGGCTTCTAAGGCTTAGGGCCCCGAGAAAGTGACCGCTGTCCATGTGAACTCTACGGCAAGGTGTTAGGGCCCGGGGTTTAGGGTTTAGGGTTGAGGGTTGAGGGTTGAGGGTTTAGGGTTTGGGCTCATACCCTAAAACCTTCCACCCTAAACCCTAAATCCTGAACTCTGCCTGGGCGAACAAGGAGCGCCCCCTGCCTGGACTCCACGGCGGCACCGAAACCTTCAAAGCCACCGAGTGCAGCAAGCGGATGCTGCCTGTCGGAAGGAGTCTACGGATTCATGTTGTGAGGTTTTTGGGGTTTTAAGGTTTGGGGTTTAGGGTTTCAGGGCTTTAGGGGTTCCCGAGTCTTCGGGTTCAGGTTGTGTGAACCTCTGGGGTTTTAGAGCTTAAGGGCTTTGGGGTTTGAGGGTTTTGGGGTTTGGATATTTTAGGGTGTAAGGGCTTTCGTGGTTGCGGGTTGACTGTGACTGTCATCATGTCAATGTCGCCTACTGAGGTTACTGAGGAATGGAGGTGAAGGATGTTCGCTGCCGGGCTGCTTCCTCCAGGATCGAGGTGCTCACGCAGATTGCTTGATTTCCGTTACAATCCAAAAACCTACATTTTGTAGTTTAGTATACTAATTACTGCCCAGGTCACCTACCAACCCTAAACCCTAAACCCAAAACCCAAAACCCTAAACCCAAAACCCCTAGCTGCCAGAAAAGGTTTTGGGCTTTTGAACCCTAAACCCTAAACCCTAAACCCTAAACCCTAAACCCTAAACCCTAAACCCTAAACCGTTAGGCTTCTTTTGTAGCAGGGCCGGCAGCTCTGCTCGGCAGAGGGGGCATGCCAGAGGGGCAGCTTGGCTGAGCTTTCATTCTGGCAGCTAGGGGTTTAGGGTTTAGGGCTTAGGGTTTAGGGTTTAGGGTTTAGGGTTTAGGCTTTAGGGTTGATTTGGGGTCATAGGGTTTTGCAGGGCTTAAAGTACAATGTACGAGGTGCTCGGAATCCTCTGAAGCCCTACAACTCCAAAACCTTAAACCCCCGAAATCCCCCTGTATAACAACCCGGAAGCTCCAAAGCCCCCCAAAACCCTAAACCCATGACTGGCTCAGGATTTCAGGATTACGGGTTAGAAAAGGACTTCGGGCACCCTCAAACTGCCAGGGTTCTTCTGCACTGGAGACCCAAAACGCCTAAACAGTGTCCTACTCTCATCGTATACAACACTGCATGGTATTGAAATTTCATCTTGTTCCTCCAGTGCGACTTGGTCTTGTGAGAGGCCATCAGATATTTCCCGAAATCGTATTCGCACCGCATCTGCAGAAACCCGACAATATCTTCCGACAGATACCCCTGTTGGACACTTCAAGTGATCATGTGTGAAACCTGCCTTAACCTGGCCATCTACTATTAAACCCTAAGTCCTAAACCCTGACCCCCCCCCCCCCCCCCGGATAGGGCTCGCATGCACTTGGGTTGGGAGGCCTTCCATCAGAAGTGAGCACCCCCGGCTGGCGTGTCTTAGTGTGTAGCGGACAGGCGACCACAGAAAGTCTGGCTGGTTTAAGGCTTAGGGGGTTTCGGCTTAGGGCGCCTGAGCTTGAACTTGAAGCATCTGGTCTTCGGAACGCTGTCAGAGGGGGGGGGGGGGGGGGGGCACATGACAACAGCAAGCTGCGGAAACCTTTCCATGACAAAGGGAAATTCTCTAACTTCTGGTCCCTTGCGCTTCTGGGGATCATATTGCAGCACAGGGCCTTGCACGTAGGCTTAACCCTAACAGTAAACCCTCACGTGCTCCTGCCCTCCCTGCTGCCCGGCTCAAGCACACTGCTCTGAAGCCCCCATGGACGGGGGCAGCGGTCTGAAGGGGGAAGGCGGACCCTTCGGGGTTGGGTGACTGGATATGTTGGGGGATGGTGGGTGAAGTGTTGGCATGCACTTTGTTTCAACGTCAGGTGAAACTTGTCAAGGGAATGACACTTGAGATTCCATCTGATCTCATTGCAACTTGCAGGCTGCAAAAGAGTGACGCCGCCTCCGGAGAATGCTGCTTTGAAATCAATCACAGACATGCTGCATCTTGACACTGATTGAGTCACTGCAGCGCTCTGCTGTGACACCTGTCTTGTCTGTCGTTGCTCTGTGTGTCTAGAATATCACTGCAAGTGAGCCAGCCAAAACAACCCAAAAGCAATGCTAATTGATGTGGCTTCCCTGCAACACTTGCATGGCAAGCAGAAGCCACATTCAGCTCATCCCTGAACCCTATATAAACCCAAAAGCCAAAACCCCAAGAGATTCCCCAATACCAAGAAGAAACTGGCGGCCAGGGGTCGGCCTGGAGGCCCCCAAAACCCAGGTTTAGGGTTTAGTGTTCAGGGTTGCCGGTTTAGGGTTTCGGGTTTAGGGTTCAAACCCAGCCTCTAAACCCTTCCAAGTGGGCAAAAGCCTGCGAAAACAAAGCCAAGAGGCCCCAGCCGGGCCCCAACTACCCCTAACTAAACCGAATTAGAACTGCAGATCTATATATACACATACGCACATGTTAGAGTCTATTGTAGACTTCTATACTATTTTCACTTTTCTTATGATGACTACATGTCCCCCACCTTCCAATTGTAGTATGATGTATATCTGCATGTGTATATGTATACACATCTATTTTATGTATTTATTTACTTATCTATAAATGTGTTCGCATTACTTTTCAAAAAGACAGCCATTATCTTTAAATGCGTCCCCTACCTCATCTTTGACTCATTGGTTCTCAGGAGGGCACCCAAACCCTGCCCGATAACCCTAAAAACACGGACCACGCAGAAAAAAGAGCAACCCTCAACCTAAACCCCAAACCCTGAACCTAAAACCTGCGTGAATGCTGGCTCAGATAGGGGTATTTAAGGTGCCCAATCCTTCATTCCCTCAACCCTAAACCCTAAACCCTAAACCCTATGGAATGCCTTGCGAACCTGGCGTTTTAAGGTGATGGTCTGGGCGCCCCACTGGCGAGGTGGGGGAGCCGGGCGGGCGGCTCGCGGCCAAGACCGCCTCCACCGTGGCCTAGTGCCGCACTAGGGTTTTGGGCCAGTTTTGGGTTTAGGGTTTAGGGTTCAGGGTTCAGGGTTCAGGGTTTGGGTGTGTCAGGGGAGGGCGCGCGCTGAAACACCCCGGGCCGCGCGCTCGCGTTGCCCGTCAACCCACCCCGGCCACCCAAAGTATACTCTATTAGGGTTTAGGGTTTATGGACTTTTTCTTGTGCACCGATGCACCCTGAACCACGTCCAGAGGCAAAGGGTTACGCTTTGGGGTTGCACTTTAGCTACGCTAAAGGTGGTTTGGGTGCCGGCCATCCCTTAGCCGAGTACTGACGTTGTTGTAAAAAAGGCCGATGTCCGTTGGCCTGTCCAGGACAGACGGTGAGGCTTAACCCTCACCTTTCCGTTTCTCTTTTCGCTTGGGCGCTCGGGCTGTAAGGCCCTCGGCCGAGCGTTCGGGGTCTGTCGCTCGACGGAAGCGACCCCTCACTTAGTTTAGGGTTTAGGGTTTATGGGGCTTTTTCGGGTTTTAGGGCTTTGGGTTTCAGGGCCTTAGGGTCTTAGGGCTCTCGGGCTTGAGGGTTCCTAGGGTTTCGGGGGCTTCAGGGTTCGAAGGCTTAATTGGGTAACGGGGTTGTTCCGGGCCTTGTGCTCAGGGCCGGCCCTCTGTTGCTTTGACTACTGTACAGGGTTTGAGGCTCCGAGGTTCTGGCTTTGGGCGATGTCTACAGCCTCAGCCCTCAGCCCTCAGCCCTCAGCCCTCAGCCCTCAACCCTAAACCTCTCTTGGCATGCGGGTGGTTGCGGGACCGCAGCAAGCAATGCCATTCAGCAACGACTCCAAAGCCACCGTGAGATTGGGGTTGTGGCTCAGGGGGTTCTAAGGTTTACGGGGAAGGTTTAGGGTTTAGGGATTAGGTTTAGGGTTTCTAAGCCTATGGGGTATAGGTAATCACAATGTATCGTGTAGAGGGGTATATTTTCAGGGTTCGGAGTCTAACCGTAAACCCTAAACCTGAAAAAGCCCTGAACCCTGAACCCTGAACCCTGAACCCTGAACCCTGAACCCTGAACCCTGAACCCTAAACCCTAAACCCTAAACCCTAAACCCTAAACCTACACCCCCTCAAAGCCCTTGAACGTCCCAGCTTTGGATGTGTCCAATCGGCGGGGGCCTCTCGAGCCTTCGCTCTTCCCTCTGCGCCACCCTGGCTTTCCTGTTATGGTTTCATGTTTAGGTTGAGGCTTGGGGTTTAGGGATGTTTAGGGTTTAGGGCTTGGGGTTTAGGGTATAAGGCTTGGGGTTTGGGGTTTGGGGCTTGTTCTTTAGGGTTTAGGGTTTGGGGTTTGGGGGGTTTAGGGGTTTAGGGTTTAGGGATTAATTTGGGGGTTTGGAGCTTAGAGCTTTGGGGGTCGGGAGGTCAGGTGACGGAAAGCAACAAGGCAGAGGGCGCCATCAGCTTCTGCGTCAGGAAGGAGCCCAGTAGCCACTCCGCCTTCGTGGACTCCTCCGAAACATGGTCACTTCCTTACACAAAGTAGGGTCTGTTGGGGGCTACTAGTATACGGCGGCCTCCTAAAATTTAAGGAAAGCCTAAACCCTAAACTCTTAACCCTAAACCCTAAACCCTAAAACCTAAACCCTAAACCCTGACCTACAGACCTTGCAGGGCTAATGCAGTGTCCTGCTCTGCCCACGATGCTGTCAGGCCATGGGGGTCCGCGATGAAGCGCCTGCGCACCACTTTGGGCTCAGGGAAGTTGAGGGAGGTTTTTGCGCCTAGGGTTTAGGGTTTAGGGTTTAGGGTTTGGGGTTTAGGGTTTAGGGTTTAGGGTTTATGGTTTAGGGTTTAGGGTTTAGGGTTTAGGGTTTAGGGCTTAGGGCTAAGGCTTTGGGTTTAGGGTTGAAGGTTCAGGGCTTAGGGTCACGGTTTAGGGTTCTGCATTGCAAGCTTGAGGGCTTTTAGGGGCCCTTGGGGATGAAGAGCTGCAGGGTTTAGGAGTTCTGGGGTCAGATGGCCGAACTGCAACAGAAAAACCTGAACCAGCTTGCAGTAAACAGGGTTTAGGGTTTAGGGTTTAGGGTTTAGGGTTTAGGGTTTAAGGTTTAAGGGTTAGGGTTTAGGGCTAGGAAGAGGTGATCCCATCATGCCCCCTCTTAAACCCATCCACTATACCCTTGTCCAGGGTGCGTAGAACCCTACCTAGACGTATACTTGGGGTTATAGCCCTAAACCCTAAACCCTAAACCGTATAATTGGGGTTCGAAGTACCCATGAACCTCCAAGTAATCCCTACAAAGCCGGCCCGGCCGCCTGATTGCAGCATCTTCCCGTGCTGCCTGGCCTTCGAGGACCTGGCAAGAGGTAACTGCGGTTTAGGGTTTAGGGTTTAGGGTTTGGGGTTTAGGGTTTAGGGTTTAGGGTGTAGGGTTTAGGCTTTAGGGAACTCCGCCGGCGACATAGCTATGTCACGTTGGGGCTACTTGGATTCATGGGCACTTTGGCTATAGAGTGCGCAAAGCATGATAGCTCAGAACCCTGTCTAGAAGTACCCACGAACCTCTAGCCCAGGTCTCGACCAAGGTGACTAGAGCTAGGGGTATGTCTGCCCCTATCGCCAGGATTCTCCCGTCCCCGGCTGCCACGAAAATGGCAGTAATTGTGAGGCTTCAGGAGGCGCAGATCATTGGGCAAAGGGTGTCGATTCTCATACTTTTGACTCCAAGACTCATGTCTCGGTTCTCGAATCTGGCATCCATCTGTCTGCATGTTATAAAAACATTTCAAGAAATATATATGGTACCCCCCCCAAAGATCTACCGTTTCCCACCTTTTTTCAACAATGAAACAAAATCCGTCTGCTTCATAGTGAATTTTCGCAATGCAATAAAATCCGTCTGCCTCACAATGATATGCCCACGACGCCATTCAGAACTCTCTTCAAAGATTTCGAAAGCCGGCCGTTTCAATTGAAACGGCCGGGATCCAAGATCCAAGATCTAAGATTTCCCAGGACTCTTGCCGAGGCATCTTGGAATCCTAGATCTCGAAAACCGGCCGCTTCAATTGAAACGTTTCCGTTTCAATTGAAACGGCCGGGACCCAAGATCCAAGATCCAAGATTTCCCAGGGCTCTTGCCGAGGCATCTTGGAATCCCATATCTTGGATTCTGCCCGTTTCAATTGAAACGTTTCCGTTTCAATTGAAACGGCCGGTTTTGGATTTAGGATTCCAAGATGCCTCGGCAAGAGTCCTGGGAAATCTTGGATCTTGGATCTTGGATCCCGGCCGTTTCAATTGAAACGGAAACGTTTCAATTGAAACGGCCGATTTTCGAGATCTCGGATTCCAAGATGCCTCAGCAAGAGTCCTGGGAAATCTTAGATCTTGGATCTTGGATCCCGGCCGTTTCCGTTTCAATTGAAACGGAAACGTTTCAATTGTTGAACTTCAAAACTCCGGGTTCCAGGATTCAAGATCCCGTGGAAACTTTTCCTGCAATCTTGAATCTTGATTCTTGGATCCCGGAGTTTTGAAGCTTAAAACTCTAGATTGAAGTTCAATACTCACGGAACCCCATAGGGCTAAGGTTTGAAGGTTTAGGGCTTCAGGTTGAGGCATTAGAACCTGAGCCGGCAATTAAAACTAAACCCTTAACCTTTAAACCCTATAGCGTTAAGGTGTTAAGGTTTAGGGTTTACGATTTAGGCATTCAAACTTGAGCCGGTAGTTCAGCCTAAACTCTCGACCTTTAAACCCTATAGGGTTAAGGTTTCAAGGCTTAGGGTTCAAGATTTAGTCATTTAAAGCTAAGCCCATAGAGTTTAAACCTCAAGGGTTTAAGGTTTATAGGTATGAAAACATGAACCCTAAACCCTCTAGGGGCCTAAAAGGTTCAAGGGTGTTCAGCCCACAGGCGCTGAAGGTATAAATGCCCAGACCTTGGGTACATCAGGTTTAGGCATTGAAACCTTGAAGCCCTATAAGGGTTTTTAAAGGTTTAAGGTCTGGGGATTGAAACCTAGGTTTGGGCATTCAAACTGGTTTAAGCCTTAATCCCTGTAGGGCTAGGTATTTAAACCGAATAGCTTACCTTGAAACGCTATAGGTTTAAAGGTTGAGGTTCAAAACCTTTAAGCCTCTGGGGTTTAAAGGTTTAGGTTTTTGCAGAGTTTGTCTACCCTATTCGGGGTAGCCCTATAGGGTTTTAACCCTATAGGGGTTCAAGGTTCAGGGTTTAAGAGGGCATTGCAACAACCCAACCCTAAACCCTCAGGGATTGAACCCCTTTACTGTTATCCTTAAGCCTTAAAGCATATAGGGTTTAGGGTTATAACGCTGAAGAACCCTCAGGGATTTAACCCTTTACTGCTTTCCTTAAGGCTGAAAGCATAAACGGTTTAGGGTTATAACGCTGAAGAACCCTCAGGGGTTTGACCCCTTTACTGTTTTCCTTAAGCCTTAAGGCATATAGGATGTAGGGTTATCACGCTGAAGATATAAATGCCCAGACCTTCGGTACATCAGGCTAAGGCATTAAACTTTAAGCCCTATAAGGTTGTCAAAGGTTTAAGGTCAAGCCTTAAACCCTATAGGGCCCTATAGGGTTACGGTTTTTTCAGGGTTTATCAACCCTAAACGCTATGAGGGGTTAAAGGTTTAGGGTTGAAGGTTCAGGGCATTGCAAAAACATAACCCCAAACCCTCAGGGATTTAACCACTTTACTGTTTTCCTTAGGCATATAGAGTTTAGGGTTATAACGCTAAAATCTATAGGATTAGCACCTTATACCCCTATATATTGTAGGCCTTGAGGCCTAAATCCTAACCGTAAATCCCATAGAGTTCTGCCTATGTTTGTAGGCCTCGCCTCCTGTGGAAATGCAAAGGAAAAGTAGAATAAGTACCCACTGCATGTATGTATATAGGGTATATGTATTGCATATCAAATACAGATAATGGAGATCCTCGAACCATAAGACTAGGAAGTATTCGAGCGCAAAAGGTGATGCGGAAAAATCATGTACTGTAAGCCCCGGGGACGCGAGAATACTATGAGCAAAGACCTTTTCACTATTTCCCTCTTAATTGCCGGTTCGGTGTCTTGGGTTGGTGCAGGATCGGTCAGCTATTGTTACGAGGGACTAGATCGGAAGGGATTCTGGTAAAAGCATTAAAAAAGGGTAGATCTCTGGGGGGGGGGAAGCATATATATATATATATATATCTATCTATATATCTCTATCCGACACCCCAATACCCGAGACCCCACACAACGGTCCAATCTAGAGTTCTACGCAAACCTATCATACAATAGCATGGGTACAGTTACATATGTATAGGTACTGTGAATACCCTGCTCGTGTAGGATTGTGCCATGTGTAGGTGTATGTACTAGCCTCGCCATTGTTTTGTTTGCAACTGCTGGATTCCATGACACACGCTCACAGCCTGAGTCTGCAAGCCTTGGAAAGTATCGTAGTTGTCCAGCTAGAAGTACCATACAGCTGTGCTTCAACTCGACTCGAAGATTCCATGAGGCATACAAGGTAACCTACATTTGCTCAGGTGGGAAGGCTTAAGCTATGCCTAAGCTCCATAAGTTCTTCACTCTTGCGGATCTAGAATCTCGAGTTCGAACTGACATCTGGGTAGTCCTCTTGAATTTTTGCGGGGGATCCTGAGTATATGGGTGCCGTACTATAAGTAGGAGCCCCCCCCCCCCCCCCCCCCCCCCAAAAAAAAAAAAGGACCGTAATTTAGGGCAACCATCCTTCTTGCTACTTGGGGGCTCATGGGTACCCATAAGTAATGTGCCGAGAAGAGAAGCTATGGTTCTAACCTTACTTTTCGTACGTATGACCCTACCTATTCGTACCCCTAAACTTAAACCCTAAACCCTAGACCCTAAGCCCTAAACCCTAAACCCTAAACTCTAAACCCTAAACCTAAAACCCTAAACCCTAAACCGTAACCCTACATATAAGTGCCCAGGAACCTTGTTGCTAAGGCCTTTAGGAGGGGAGCGCAAAGCCCGCGCCTTGGTGGTGCGCGAAGAATTGACCCAGCGCCTGATGGATGTAAGGTCTTTTCGGGAAGGTTAGGGTTTCGGGTTTCGCGTTTAGGGTTTAGGGTTTAGGGTTTAGCGTTTAGGGTTTTGGGTTGAGGGTGGGCTGCTAGGCCTTATAACCCCCATTATCAACACTATAGATAAATTGCCTTTTTAAGGAGGGGGGGGTATCTGGTAGAATAGCCCATCTTGGATCAGCGCAACTGATCAAACAGCAGGCCGAGCTCCCGGCGGTGTGGGGGCCGTGGCTTCTGCCAGCTTCACGGCCGTCTGCACCTATACTCCCCTTAGCACCTTAATAAAAATAATATGTTTAATATCCTCTTGGGCTTTATAATGAACAAAAAGAAAAAACATGTAACTCCCAAGCAGGATATAGGCACATCTTCGGGCGAGAGGTTCCCCGGAAATCGCAGGGGCGCCGGAAAGATCGGCGAACTACTGGGCTGGAACTGCACTTTCTCGCCGGCTTCCGCCAGCAGAAGCAGAGGCTCGGGGTGGGGCGCGGCCAGTTCCGAGAAGAGCTTGCCTGAGTTGCTGAGTTCATAAGTAGCCCCCAAAAAAGTGCACACCTTCAGTTCTACAGGGGGATGAGAGTATCCCAAAAAGTGTAAAGTGTACTCGTCCAGCTACGAAGTTGCTAAATAAGCCCTGAAGAATCTCCGTGGCCAAGGACGGATACTCCCTTCGGAGGTCCTCCATATCCTTGGGGACCACATGGACCCCAAAAGGGTTTATGGTCCAAAAACCTTAATAGGAATATAGTAGCAGAGGGTACCCTAAACCCTAAACCCTAAACCCTAAACCCTAAACCCTAAACCCTAAACCCTAAACCCCCCCTTTAGGGTTCCTTTCGTCCCCAAGGATCTGAAGGAAGGAGCAAGGCAGCCAGAGTAGGCCGGGCAGCGAAGATGTCCATCGGGCAGGGCTGCACGCCTCCAAGGAGGAACTCGAGGCCGACGCAATCCCCAGGATCAAACCACAGGGACCTAGTTCATGGTTGGGATAGTAGTGGTTATATATATGTATGTATATTTCTATATTCCTTAAGCCTTATAGGGGTTTCGTACCCTGAAAAATGTAAAAAAAAAAAAAAAAAGGAAAAAAGTTGCCCCGCTATGACAAAGGGACGGTGATCCCCCGGCATCCCGGAAGCCAGTGAACTTGCCGTCTAAGACGATCAGTGCTCCTGCCAGCGGCTCGCCGCGAGTCAGCACGCTGACTCGCGGCTGCCACTGGGTCACACGGAGTCGGCAAGCCAAGGCCAGTAGGGAATGGTAGTCCGCGCATGGCAGAAGCCTGCCTTCATCTCTTAAGCGCACAAGAAAATCCAGAACCCGCCGTTCGGTGAAGCTTGCCAGGTTCCACTTCAATCGATTCGAGACGGGGCAACCCCTGAAGAAACAGCCGCATGAGTCGGCAAGCTGCATTAGCAGCACTCGCAGCAGCGAGTGGTGGAAAGCGGGCCGCGCGCGGCGCACGGCTTCCAATTGATCAAAGCTCAGGACTGCGATGCAGCCGTCCTTACTTGTCCGGCGCCCGAAGGGGGAACTTAAGTCAGGTTCAACTTTGGGAAGTTGATGAACTGGGATTCTAAACCGGCACTACACTACACGCGCTTAAACTCTACCAGGGTTCAGGGTTCAGGGTTCAGGGTTTAGGGTTTCGGGTTTAGGGTTTAGGGCTGTTGCTCGGCTCGGCCTAAGCATCCTCCAAGGCCCTGAGGGTGTAGGGACGGGCATGGCTCTTTTCCCAGAGTGCCCCGCGGGCGCCGCCGACGATCTCGCCAGGGTGGTGGTCCCCCAGGCGTATCTCGCCACCGCCCTGGCCACCCTGAGGAATGGTAGCCTATACTGAACTTGAGACCCCTAGCAAAAAAATCTTAATGTTAGCTGCTTCTTAGGGCATTATAGTACCCAAGAATTTCAAAAAAGATTCCCAAGTATCCCCCCAAAAAAATCAAAATCAAGTCCCCCAGTATCCCCCCCCAAATATAAAAATAATAATAATATATACAATATATATATATATATAACAAAACATGTTCCCAAGTATCCCCCAAGTAGCCGAGGCCTTCCCGGCCAGCAGCAAGCCCAGCCATGAGGCGGGCTCGCCTCGAAGGAAGAGGACTTCGCCACGCCGGAAGCCCAGAGGTGAGATCAGCTCCGCCAAATCCTCTACTCGTTGCTTAGAAGAACCCCCAAAAAAGAATCCAAGATAGTTGCTTAAGAACCCCAAAAAACAATCTAAGATCATAATCCCTATGTTACCCTTAGAATTAGGGAAGAATGTTGTTGTCTTTTGCGGGGTCTTGAGCAATCAAGTAGTCCTCCAACTCACCCAGGCTCAGCTCCGCAAAGAGGCCGTGGTCGCGGCGCAAGCGCCGCAGCACATCCGCCGTCCCTGCCACCCCCAGCTCGCGGCTGGGCGGTCTCAGCTCCACGGCTGCCGGGGGATCGATCATCTTCTTGGGGGCCTCCACGCGCCTGCTCAGCGAGGGCAGGGCCACGTCAGCCTGGCACACTGGCATTAGCATGACCCGCCTCTCAACACGCCTCAGGCTCCGTACGCTACATCTCCCTCACTCTCTCGCTCACTCTCTCGCTCGCTCTCCGTCTCAGTCTCCGTCTCAGTCTGTGTCTGTCTCTTGATCTCTGTCTTCCTTGCTTTCTTCAGTGTGTGAGGGCGAACCCCGTGCATGACACACGCCCTGCTCCACTGTCGCCTCCACAACAACGACCGGGATCCCCATAATTGCTCGGCAGGAAGGCTTGCAACCCCTCATCAACTCACCTTGTGCCCCTCCATAAACAAGCACGAAATTAACCTGGCCTAATTATCCATGGCTCCTTGCCACACTGCCCCATACGCACGAGGTCGTGCCTTGGCCCGGAGGTCGGGTTCACTGAGGCGGGCTGCCGGCGAGCCCCGAGGGGGCGAGTCGAGACGCTGGGCGCCACGGGGCGAGTCCGGATACCGGAAGCCTCGGGGCGAGTCCGGGTACCGGAAGCCGCGGGGCGAGTCCGGACGCCGGGCGCCGGGGGGCACCCCCAGCTGCGGTGGCAGCAGGTGCCCTGAGCATGCGTAGCTTCTTATGTGTTGAGAGGCGTTCGGGCGGAAGCCGAGGTGTTCTGCCTAACGCAGCATGCTGATGGAAAGCATGGCAGGAGTTCAAGCCGATACCAGAGTCAAACGTGCGACCTTCTACACCTTGCACGTGACGAGGGTATGGACATCGTCAATAGGGCCGGAGAGAGAATCACTCAATGACACCATCCCCACGCTACCTGTTGACATGGCCATGGCTGCGTCACGTGACTGTGCTTATGGGCGCCATGGCATCGGCGGTCCAAGTATCGGCATGCGAGGCTACATAGTCTGGTCTGCCTCTAAGTGGGGAACACCCTTTGCAAAAAAACTAGGGGTTGTTCGAATCCATGTCAAGATACAGCTGTCTCTGTATCGTAGACGGCGGTGCTCAGTGCTGAATTCAGCTTGCATGGCTGCAGCCCGATTTATAAGCTTAGGCATGTCATTTCGATCCTCTTATGTTGGCTTGCAACAGCTGCGCACAGGAGAGCAGCGAGTTCTGACCCGTCTCAAGCTCCCAGCACCAACACTCCTCATACCCATGCACTCCCCCTAAGCCTTCTATCACGGAGGCACCCTTTTGCCAAGAGCTGGTCATGCTCCCTGCGCGGGGTGCCAAGCTGGGCGCGAGCTGCGCGAGGGACTCGTCTCCCCCCACCCGGCGCTCGGAGGGAGGCGCCACAGGTCAGGCTTCGGTGCCCGGGAGGTGCATCCGTCAGCTCCAGTCACAGGCTGTCCAGAATGTACCTCGAAACAACTCTGCGCGCTCTCCACCTCATAGGCCTGCGAAAATTTACTGCTTGAAACCTTTGAATCCTGCATGAACCCTAACCCATAAACCCATAAGCCCACAAGCCCCTAAAGTCATAAACGCCAAACAAAACTCCTGAAACCCAAGCCCAAAAGCAACAACGAAACAAACATCAACGCAAATACCAATACTAATAATAACCATAACAACCATAATCATAAAGTTATAACAACAATAATAATAACAATAATCATCATCATCATAATGAACATCATAAGAATATTAAAAACAAATTAACATGAACGACGCTCTTCGGAGGCACGCGGGGAGACCTCCAGCGTGCCAGTCGCTGGCTCAGAGCTCTACCTTAAGGCTTGGACGCTCTTGGGGTCTTGGGGGTCTTGGGGGTCTTTGGGGTCTTTGGGGTCTTTGGGGTCTTTGGGGTCTTTGGGGTCTTTGGGGTCTTTGGGGTCTTTGGGGTCTTTGGGTCTTTGGGGTCTTTGGGGTCTTTGTGGTCTTTGGGGTCTTTGGGGTCTTTGGGGTCTTTGTGGTCTTTGGGGTCTTTGGGGTCTTTGGGGTCTTTGGGGTCTTGGGGGTCTTTGGGTCTTTGGGGTCTTTGGGGTCTTTGTGGTCTTTGGGGTCTTTGGGGTCTTTGGGGTCTTTGTGGTCTTTGGGGTCTTTGGGGTCTTTGGGGTCTTTGGGGTCTTGGGGGTCTTTGGGTCTTTGGGGTCTTTGGGGTCTTTGTGGTCTTTGGGGTCTTTGGGTTCAGGGTTTTGTTGCAAGGCTTCAGCGTGTTAGGGGAGTGTTGGGGGGTCCGGGGTTTGGAGTTTAGAGATCTAAGGGGCTTTGGCGGCTTAGGACATTTAAGGGCGTTGCCGCGGAGCTTTAAATAACGCGGGATTTTCCTGTAGTTTAGTCGTTTGAGGGCCTTGTTGGGTTTTTGGGCTTTGCGTGGGCTTTAGGATGGTTTAGGGTTTAGGGTTTAAGGTTTAGGGTTTAGGGGTCAACCCCGTAAAACCCGGGACTGATTGTTGGACTGGAAGTCACTTCTCATAGACACGTTTTCTTCTGTTTCTCATCTTTTCATTTGGATTAATTTATAGTTTTCATATTTGGCCTAGAGATTCATTAAGAGAATTCACTTTGAAACGTATGAAGTCTCATCGAATATTTTCTTTTATTTTTGAGGGCTTTCTAGTTTCTGAAGCTCTAACATCTATTTATTTCTTATCTTGTCCAACTTTAGGGATGTGGCCTGGAGAAGCCTTTATATCTTCCAGATCCTTGTGCACTCACTTTTGCTAATACACTTATTTTATCTGATGATGCGATATCTTTAGGAAATGCTTTTATAAGTTTAGAACTTTCATCACATTATACTACTTTCTTCACTTTGTGGAAATTCTAAGTATCTTCTCCTTGTATTTGTTTGCAGATTGAAGAATTTCGTATTCTCGCATAGTCAACTACTGATTTACTTTATAGTTGTCTTTCCTTTTCCTTACAGCACTACATGTCTTTAATCTATGTCTTGGTATGTAGCGCCTTTTCCTTATCTTCTTTTCTTGTGATCGTTTCGTTCTTTCTAGGCTGCCCAGTAACCTAGGCTTAAAAGGGGTGCCCTTTTTTGCTTAAAGGGGTTTATAAGGGAACCTAAACCCCGCAAAAAGGGAATAAGGGTACTACCGGTGGCCAGATGGACCGACTAGGGTTTAGGGGTCTCAGAGCCCGCGCCTTGCCCCCAGGAGGCGGCGCGGCCGCGGCTTCGAACTCCGACTGCCAGGGCTTTGGGGCTTGTAGGGTGGGGGCTTTAGGGGCTGTAGGTTTAGGGTTTAGGGTTTAGGGTTTAGGGTTTAGGGTTTAGGGTTTAGGGTTTAGGGTTTAGGGTTTAGGGTTTAGGGTTTAGGGTTTAGGGTTTAGGGTTTGGGGTTTTAGGGTTTTAGGGTTTAGGGTCTGGGAAGTTAGGGTTTTAGTTTTAGGGTTTTCAGGGTTTAGGAGTTAGAGGTTTAGGCCTTTAGTTGCAGGGTTTGAGGGTTTATAGGGTTTAGGGGTTACATCCAAACGGCCTACCTAGACCCCTTGCTGAAGGTTTCGGGGGCCCTAAACCCTAAACCCTAAACCCTAAAACCCGAAACCCTAAACCCGAAACCCTAAACCCTAAACCCTAAACCCTAAACCCTTGCTGAAAGGTTTCGGGGGCTTGGGCTCTCGGCTTGCTTGGCTCCGGAGGTCCACACCAGGTCGCACCTGGAGATGCTGCACTTCGTCGTGATACCTTGGAAGGTCGGTAGGGTTTAGGGTTTAGGGTTTAGGGTTTAGGGTTTAGGGTTTAGAGTTTAGGGTTTAGGGCTTAGGGCTTAGGGCATCGGGCATAGGGTTTAGGGTTTAGGATTTTGGGATTAGGGTTTTGGGTTTGGGGTTTAGGGCTTTGAGGTCTGACACCTCGCTCTGGGAACCCGTATGCCCTAAACATTAGAACCAACCCTAAAACCAAACAACCCTAAAACTCCCAAAGTTCTCAACCCCAAAAACCAAAACACTTCAAATCCGAAACCCTAAACCTACAAACCCCAAAACCCTAAGAGCTACAAACCCTAAGACCCCAAAAGCCCCCCCATAAAGCTCCCAAAAAGCCCCTAAGGTCCAGCTTCCTCACATAGGTTTAGGGTGTCGGGCTTAGGGTTTAGGTTTGGGGTTTAGGGTTGAGGTTTCCCAAACTCAGGGTACCTTCTTGGGACCCTTATCCTCAGGGAGTCCTACTACTTAGGGGGTCGATTTAAGGGTGCCCACCCTAAACCCTAAACTTTGTCCCTAAACCCTAAACCCTAAACCCTAAACCGTAAACCCTAAACCGTAAACCCTCAACCCTAAACGGCCAAATTTCCGCGAGAGCTGGGCTGTAGCAGGCTGGGGCGGCGGCGTCTGCCACTCCGCGATGATGCGCTTGGCCATGACAATCTTCGGCTCCTGAGGCCCGTGGGCTTTCTTTAGGGTTTAGGGTTTAGGGTTTTAGGGTTTAGGGTTTAGGGTTTAGGGTTTAGGGTTTAGGGTTTGGGGTTTAGGGTTGGTTGCCCAGTAACCTAGGATGAAAAAGGGTGCCCCTTTTTTGCTTAAAGAGGTTTCTAAGGGAACCTAAACCTACCAAAAAGGGAATAAGGGCACTACTGGGCATCCTAGGTTCTAGGGTTTCTGCAGGGGTTTTTGAAGCGACTGTAGTAGGGCTTGGCAGGGCTGTAGAGGGTGTTATGGAGTCTGAAAGTCTTATAGGGTTTTATAGGCTTTTACTGGGTTTTTGGGGGGTGTTAGGGTTTGGGGGGTGTTTGGTGCCTTTGTGGAGCGGCTCTCGTCGACTCGCCTGTTGCTGGTTTTTTTGTCCGCCCGCGGTCCTTCGTGAGCGGGTTCTGGCAGAGGTCGATGGTCTTGGCGGTCTTCTTGCTCTCCTGAGACCCCACCATGGGTTTAGGGTTTAGGGTTTAGGGTTTAGGGTTTAGGGTTTAGGGTTTAGGGTTTAGGGTTTAGGGTTTAGGGTTTAGGGTTTAGGGTTTAGGGTGGTTATCCCTTGCTTATATACCGGGAGGTCTTCGAGTTGAACTCCTAACCCACAAGCCACGAAATCTGTCCAAACGCCTTGTCATGTAAATCTGCGGAAAAGTTGCTGCCCCCGACCTGCTACCTTAAAGGTCTGCACAAGGACATTCTCAAAAAGCAGGATCCCCCAAAGGGCCTAAAGGGGAGCCTTCATGTAGAACAACCCCCCTAAACCCTAAACCCTAAACCCTAAACCCTAAACCCCCCAAGCATCAGCCAGCCAAACAGGTGGCCTGTGAGCACCACGTCTCGCACCACAGCCACTCACTCGGCCTCAGCGCTCAGAGCGGTTTGGGGTTTGGGGTTTGGGGTTTGGGTTTGGGGTTTGGGGTTTAGGGTTTAGGGTTTAGGGTTTAGGGTTTAGGGTTTAGGGTTTCGGGTTTAGGGCTTGCCATCCCCTTCAACCCTTGACCGCCTTAACCCTAAAACTCCATGAACCCTAAACCCTAAACCCTAAACCCTAAACCCTAAACCCTAAACCCTAAACCTTGAAAGTTTTGCCCAACCCCTCCTCAGCAACAAGCCCTCACCTAAGGTTCTGTGCACAGGGATCAGGGTGTACTCGGAGGTTCATGTGTACTTAAAAGCAGGGTGGGTTACAAGCGCCCTGGAACAAAAGGTACCCTTCTTGCAACCCTGCTTCTACGTGCCCACGAACGTCCAAGTAGGGGCTCGGGGTTCGGGGCTTACTTGGAGGTTCATGGTACTTATTAACCCAATTGTACCTGTATATGTAACCCAACTATCATCACGTTGGGGCACTTCAGGGGCTTGTGAGTGGGTTACAAGTACAGTTATCACCCTGTTGGAAGTACCCTGAACCTCCAAGCAGGGTCCAACGTTTGGGCTCCCAAGAGGGTCCTATCTCGGCACCCTGCAGTGTGAAGATTGGCACCTGGTGCTGCGCAAAGTTGGGCAAGTCCTGGCAAGTTTACGGTTTAGGGTTTCTAGGGCTTAGAGCATGCCGACAAGGGGGGTGTGAATGTTTCAAAGAGCTCACGGTTGAGAAGCTTGGGGGTTTAGGGTTTGAGGCTTCCGGGTTAGCTTTAGGGTTCCATCGGGTTCAGGTGTAGGGCTGGGGTTTAGGGTTTAGGGTTCAGGGTATTGCGGCACCCCGTGCCGCGGATACCACATCATGCTGCTCAGCAAATCTGGCTTGCCTCGTCGTTGCTCCATGGCTGAGCAGCACCGTAGCAAAATACCGGATCCAAAGATGCTACACCCTGAGCGTTTAATTTCGGGATTGAGGCCTGAGAGGCCCGAAACGCTAAGCCCTACACCCCAAACAATCAAACCCTCAAGCCCCCGAATTCCTGAACTAAACAAGCATTGACCCTAAAACGTAAACCCTAAACCTTAAACCCTAAACCCTAAACCTTAAACCCTAAACCCTAAACCCCAAGAGCCCGTCCTGATCCAAGTTTGCCAGGGAGTTGGGATCCCGGCTCAACTGGCGGATCGAACCAGATCTTCCCAAAACAAATCTTGAATAAGGCTTGGGGCTAGAGGCTTGGGTTTAGGGTTTAGGGTTTAGGGTTTAGGGTTTAGGGTTTAGGGTTCAGGGTTCAGGGTTCAGGGTTCAGGGTTCAGGGTTCAGGGTTCAGGGTTCAGGGTTCAGGGTTTAGGGTTTAGGGTTTAGGGTTTAGGGTTTAGGGTTTAGGGCTTAGGGCTCAGGGTTTAGGGTTTAGGGTTTCGGGCTTAGGGTTTCGGGTTTAGGGTGTAGGGTGTAGGGTTTTAGGGCCAGTGTGGCGGTGTTAAGGCCCACAAATCCTGTGAGCATGGCTCTTCTGATTTCAGTGAAACCAGACACTAGTTCATGGTTGGGATAGTATTAAAAATTTAAGTCTATATTCCTTGTTGAGTTCAAGTACCCTGAAAATGTAAAAAATCACACCACAATGACAAAGGTTATAAGGAAACCTGAACGCTAGAAACAGGGAATAAGGGTCTACTCTGGGCCCTAGTTACCCTAAACCCTAAACCCAAAACCCAAAACCCTAAACCCTAAACCCTAAACCCTAAACCCTAAAAAAAGGGAATAGGGGTCTACCCTGGGCCCTAGGAAAGGTCGGGCCTGGTTGTAGACGCCCCGCAGCGACTCCCCAATGGAGGTCCGTCGGAACTGGGAGCTCCGGAGGGTGTAGGGTTTAGGGTTTAGGGTTTAGGGTTTAGGGTTTAGGGTTTAGGGTTTAGGGTTTAGGGTTTAGGGTTTAGGGTTTAGGGTTTAGGGCCGTTGGGGATTTTGTGGGGGTTGGGGGGGGGGGGGCCTAAATCCCTAAACCCCGAAACCCCAAAACGTTTTGGGAATTTTGGGTGTTGGGTGTGGTGTTTGCTTGGGGTTTTGGGCGGTCGGGGGGATCTAGGGCATCAGCTTTGGAGCTGAACCCTAAACCCTAAACCCTCAACCCTCAACCCTCAACCCTAAACCCTAAACCCTAAACCGGGGCTTTAGGGCTTCAGGGGGTGACGGCCCCGGCCCACAATCAGCTCCCAAGAGGGCCTCGATCAAGTCGACCACAAAGAGAGCCGAGATATGATATCTGGCAAGGGTTTAGGGTTTAGGGTTTAGGCTTTAGGGTTTAGGGTTTAGGATGTAGGGTTTAGGGTTCAGGGTTTTGGGTTTTGGGGTTTAGGGTGTGGGGTGTGGGGTGTAGGGTGTAGGGCTTGCAGGTTCAGGTGCTGCAGGAGGGCTCGTTTGAACTGTCGGGAAGGCAGCAAAAAAGGCTCGGCTTCAGGAATCCAAACCTGGAGCTGTCTTCCTTTAAAGGGGCATAAGGAGGGACCCCGAGAAGGGACCCGTAATCTTATTCCCCTATATCACCCCTATATAGACCTTCTTTAGTCCCTATCTACCTAAGTCGCCCCTAAACAACCCCCTACATAACCCCGTCCCTTGTACGGGGCCCCTCTTTTCCCTCAGCCTTCCTAAACCCTCAAACCCTGAAGCCCTCAATCACTGAAACCCTCAAACACTCAACCCCTGAAACCCTCTCCCTAAACCCTAAACCTTAAACCCTAAACCCTAAACCCTAAACCCTAATCTCTAAACCCTAAACCCTAAACCCTAAACCCTAAACCCTAAACCCTAACCTCAATAGCTCAACCATCAGCCCAAGCCCTCGTCTTGCAAGCTAGGTTGGCCCATGAGTCTCTTAGCCCAATAAGGGACAAGCTAAATATCCCAAGGGCCTACCTAGTGTAAGGGCGTCCCAATGTCGCCAAAACCCTAAACCCTAAACCCTAAACCCTAAACCCTAAACCCTAAACCCTAAACCCTACCCTAAACCCTAGTAAGCCAGCAGGCGCCACGGCTTGTTACCGAGGTGGCTCTTCCAGTAGCCCTGCTTCCAGAAGCGGAAGCCCTGCAAGAGCAAAGTGGAGTCTAGTCAAGGCACGTGGGGGTTTAGGGCTTAGGGTTTAGGGTTTAGGGCCAGGGCTACATTAGGCCCCTACCGGGGGGTTTCTTTTCTTTATGAAACCGGGCGGGTGTAGGTTCTCTCAAGCCTTGTGAGGTCCTCGCACAAAAGCCCTAACCTTTTAACCCGGCCACGGTTGCCTCAAAACTCATCGCTACTCTCTGCTATCTGATCTTAGCCCCAAAAAGAGCGCAAGAATTACCCCCCCAAAAAACATCTGTTGAAGCCCATCAATATGTTGACCTTATGAGCCACATTCCACTTGACTCATCGGGCCATAAGACTATCCACAGCCCCTTTTGTTGAGGCAAATTAAGAGTTTGGGGCCAAGGGCTTAGAGTGATCTCAATGTACCGGGACACTCCGCCTTAACCCCTCAAACTCCTAAAGCTAAACCCGCTTAAACCTGCACAACTGTCCTAGACCGCCAAACCCCCACACCCCTAACCCCCAATGTCCAAACCGATATCGGGGCATTCTACCCTCCGCGTTTCCCTGAACGCCCAAAGCCCTAAAACCCACCCTAATCGAGAAAGCCCTAAACCCCAAACCCTAAACCCTGAATCCCTAAACCCCTTACTGGCCTCGGTATCAGGGTTCGAGTCGCCCATGGGAACGAAACCGTAGACGTTGCCCTGCGCTTTCGGGTTTGGGATTTTGGGGATCATTGGGGTGTAGGGTGTAGGGCTTAGGATTTAGGGGTTTACGGGTTTAGGGGGGTTTAGGGGTGTTTAGGGGTGTTTAGGGGTTTAGGGTTTAGGGTTTAGGGAGGATTTAAGGACTTAGGGTGTATAGTGTTTGCCCCAAACCCTTTAACCGCGAGCCCATCATCTCTGGAATTCAGGAACTTCTTTTGCGCGCCCTTAGTAAGGATACTGCGTCACTTAGTAGATCACACTACTTGAATGGTCATGCATACTTCAAGTAGGTGTAAGCTGTTGACCAACAATAACTATAGCTACCCAGCTCGAACCCTATTTGCAAGTACCCCACATGACCCTAAGCCCTAAACCCTAGACACTAAACCCTTTTCATCCTACAAATCCTATAAACCCCAAAAACCCATGTACCCTATAGACTTTAAACCCTATTAGCCCTATAAACCCTAAACCCCGATCCCAAAATCCTAAACCCCAAGCCCTAAACCCTAATCCTAAACCCTAAACCCTAAACCCTAAACCCTATAGACCTGGCGACCTAAACACGCCTTGAGGTCCAAGTCCCAAAGCTCCTTCACGTCTGCACGTACCACCTGGGAGGCCACCAAAAAAGACCTACAACCAAAGGTTCGGTTTTGGATTTAGGATTTAGGATTTAGGATTTAGGATTTAGGATTTAGGATTTAGGATTTAGGATTTAGGATTTAGGGTTTAGGGTTTAGGGTTTAGGGTTTAGGGTTTAGGGTTTAGGGTTTAGGGTTTAGGGTTTAGGGTTTAGGGTTTAGGGTTTAGGGTTTAGGGTTTAGGGATTAGGGTTTAGGGTTTAGGGTTTAGGGTTTAGGCTTTTGCAGGGCTTCGGGCTTTGGGCTTCGGGCTGTTGGCTGGGGGAGTCAGGGACTTCGGGCTTGGGTTTGGGGAGAGAGGAGTTTGGGAGTGATTTACGGTCGGGGCCTTTCGGGGTACCTGGAGGTTCATGTGTACTTCTAAGTAGGGTTAGAACCTTACATAGGGTACTTAGCCCTAAACCCTAAACCCTGAATCCTAAGCCCTAAAGCCTATACCCTAAACCTGTAGGACCCAATTTATGAGTATCATGAACCTCCAAGTAGAGGGCCCTGGGGTGTAGTCTCTTCACGGCTCAGGGATCCTAAGCGCCTAAACCCTCTTGGTGCACAACTTGGCGCACTTCCCCCAGAACTCCAAACAAACTTAGGGTTTAGGGTTTAGGGTTTAGGGTTTAGGGTTTAGGGTTTAGGATTTAGGGTTTAGGGTTAGGGGATTTAGGATTTAGGGTTTGGGGTTTGGGGTTTAGAGTTGACCCCGAACCCTTGGAACCCTAAACCCCCGAAACCCGAGCCAGCACCTGGTCGGCGTCGATGAAGATGATCTTTGGAACGTCCTGTGGGAAGAGCACCTTGGGTTGAGTCTTCTTGTTGCCCTTATTTTGTGGTTCAGGCTGTTTTTGGAGGTTCTTTGGGGGCGATTTCATCTTCCGGCACTTTGGGTCTTTGGGGTTTGGGGTTCAGGGTTTTGGGGCCTTTTTAGCGTGAAGGGTTGAGGGTTCAGGGTTTCGGATGGTTGAGTTTGCAGGTGTCCCGCAATGCGACCTCTGTGGCCGGGAGTAATCGGCTTCGGGACGCTTTAAGTCGCCCACATCCAGGAAGAGGATCTTGTACGCCCAGATGAGCCGCTGCTTCTCACCTCGGAGGCTCCAGCTTTCCGATAGGGTTTAGGGTTTAGGGTTTAGGGTTTAGGGTTTAGGGTTTAGGGTTTAGGGTTTAGGGTCTAGGGTCTAGGGTCTAGGGTTTAGGGTTTAGGGTTTAGGGTTTAGGGTTTAGGGTTTAGGGTTTAGGGTTTAGGGTTTAGGGTTTAGGGTTTAGGGTTTAGGAAGGCTCAGGGTAAAACCCTATGAGCCCTCTAAGCCCTCTAAGCCTTGTAAGCCTTGTAAGCCTTGTGAGCCTTGTAAGCCTTGTAAGCCCTATAAGCCCTATAAGCCCTATAAACCCTACAAACCCACTAAACCCTCTTAAGACCCTATAAACCATATGACTAAAAAGCCCCTCGTAGGGCCCCAACCCAGCCCCGAAAGGCCCATGGAGTCACTCGAGGGGCGCACTTTGCGGGTTGAGCCACGAGGGCCACTTGTAGGTAACGAAGTCGTACTTGAAGTCGTACCTCCCATCGCAGGGGGAGTGTAGGGTCTGCAGGGTTTTTAGGGGTCAGGACATTTGGGTTCAGCCGATGTCCATGAAGCAATGCCCTCAACCCTAAACCCTAAACCCTAAACCCCAAACCCTAAACCCTAAACCCTAAACCCTAAACCCCAAACCAAGTCTCTTCTCATCAGGCCCAGGCGGCCTCGCCGCCAGTTGGGGAATGAAGGCCTGCCCACCGGCAATCGCCAACTTCAAAGAAGCGGGTTTAGGGTTTAGGGTTTTAGGGTTTAGGGTTTAGGGTTTAGGGTTTTGGGGTTTAGGGTTTAGGGTTGGTGTCGAACACTAAGCCCTTGAAGCCCTGACACCCTGACGCGATAAACCCTGAACCCTAAGCTTAAACCTTCGTGCAGCCAGTTCAACCCCCCCTTAAACCATGCTAAGCCCATCCGTCCGCAAGCCCCGAATAGTGGGATTCCCTTTTAATAAGGACCCCAAGAAGGTACCCCCGAATTTGGAAACACCCAAAGTAACCCGAATGCGCCCTCGGTGAGCCTTGAACTTTGGCGACAGGAAGTTGTCGATGAACCAAAAGTGCAGAGGGTTCTTCGTGTTGTTCCGCACCTTGACTTAGGGTTGAGGGCTTCGGGTTTAGGGTGGGCTTAGGGCTTGAGGTTTGGCAACCTTTCTCTCATGAAGGCCCCAGCCCTGCCACCCACATGGGGCTTAGGGTTTTAGGGTTTCTGGGGTTTGGGGTTTATGGAATTTGTAGGGTTTAGGGTTACCTCTTTGAGCACCCGAAGTTCTTGCGAATCAAACTTGACTCAGAATGAGGACCCTCCGAGACCAGTCGGGGAAGCCCTAAACCTAAACCCTAAACCCTAAACCCTAAACCCTAACCCCCCAAAAAATAAACCCTAAACCCTAAACCCTAAACCCTAAACCCTAAACCCTTTAAACCCTAAACCCTAAACCCTAAACCCTAAACCCTAAGCAGCGCTCCGAGGACCCGAGCTGAGAGGATCATGATGCTGAGGAGCTTCTCGTACAGATGGCCGCTGGCCACCTCTCGCCATGCAAGATGAGGGTCTTAGGGAACCCTAAACCCTAAACCCTAAACCTTAAACCCTAAACCCTAAACCCTAAGATGCATGCTCAGCTCCGCGCGCTGAAGATATGGATCGTCTCCCTTGAGAGCCAGCGGAGCATCCCAAAACGGCATCCCCAAACCCTAAGGCTACTTGACGGTACATGGATACCTATAAGTAGGGTTTAGGGTCGAGGGTCTAGGGTCTAGGGTTTAGGGTTTGGGGTTTAGGGTTTAGGGTTTAGGCATACCCATAAGTAGGGTTCGAAGTACCCTAACTAGTGTTATACCCATAGTTACCCCACTTATAACCCCACCGATCAGTACCCATGAACCTCCAAGTAAACCCTAAACCCTGATCTCTACTACGGACCCAAAACATCCTTAAACCCGAAGCCCTACGTCCCGACACGCCGATAAGCCCTGCACCCATTGTTTCATAGACACCCTGCCCCAACGCTCCAAAGCCCCGCCCCTCCTGGCCCCGAGCTACAGGCACCAGAACCGATGCGCTGTGACCGCCGGGTTTGGCAACTACCCTAAACCCTATAAGCCTAACTCCGAAAACTGAAATCCTAAACCCTAAACCTCTTGTCAGGAACATGGAGACAAGCTGGGAGACCCCAGCTCACCATCTGCAAGTTCCTGGCAGTCGCTGGACGAAGCAAAGTGGGGGGGCATAGACTGTAGGCATGGCAAAGAGTGCTGTCGGTCCCCGTACACCTCGCCAGGTACCGCCCCTTCTAGAAAGGAACTTCGAGAAAGGAACTGCACGTTCGAACACCCCCATGCACAGTAGTCTCTAGGATTTATGGGGTTCAGGCTTCTCGAAATTCTCGAAATTCAAGCTGAGCTTCGTTTCAAGGGCGAACGTTTTGCGTGGGAGGCCTTCTTTGCCGGCGCGTTCACCTCGTCAGATGCCTTGCTGTCCTGGCACAGGCTGACAGTTCAGGGAAGGCGGGTACGTAAGGGCACTCCAGAGGTCTCTACAAGGATTACAAAACACATCCATATAATATAATATAATATAATATAATATAATATAAGAAAATATAATATAATATAATATAATATAACATAATATAATATAATATATATATATATACTTATTTATTTACATACGTGTGTATATATATATATATCCACCTTATGGAACATGTTGTGATGATACACATACATACATGAAGGTATGCATATATTGGTTTAATAGGTTCACAGGTTTGCAGATCCCGGGGCTTCAAGGAGCGTTGTTCACGTTCCTTTCGGTGGGTGGGGGGCGTGTCGGGTTTAGGGCTTGGATGGTGTTTTGGGGTTCGCCTCAGGGCTCATAGGATGTCGTTCCAGGCTTTCAGGCAAACCCTAAACCCTAAACCCTAAACATGGTTGCCTGGAGAACAAGCAGCCGTGTGCAGCAACAAGACAGGCCACAGGCCTTTCCGTAGCCGCCCCAGATGGACCTTTTGTAGGCTTCAGGGTTTAGGGTTTGGGGTTAGGCTCTGACACACCAGCCAGCAACAACCACACAGCTGTCGTTGCAAAGCCTGAACCTCTGACACCTTGAAAGTTTAGAAGTTGGCATTTGATGGGGGTTTTAGGGCCTGATTAGGGCCTTAGAATTGGGGGTTCAGGGTTTCATTAGGTCGTTCTTCGTAGTAGTTGCTATTCAAAAGTACTGCTTTTTCTAGAAGCACTTCGAGCCTAAACTCTAAGACAACAACTAAGCACGAACGCATCCTTGGCCGCCGGCTGCAGTGCACCCAGAAGGCCAGCCCTCGAGCTGAGTAAGGCGTATGGCTTAGGGCGAAGAGTTGGGGATTGTAGGATAGTGATTTTGATTTGGGGCGTAGAACTTAGGGCTCATAATTTTGGGGTTTCTACTTTAGGGCTTGCGATTTAGGGCGGGCTTCTAATTTCGGCTTTAGGGTTTCTGGCGCCCGCAGCTTTGCGATCTCCAACGCTCTGAGTGGCCCGCACTGGCTGGCCTTGCTTTCGCTTCACTTTTGAGGATCCCTGCACAGTTGCAGCGTGAAGGGGGTAGGGTTTAGGGTTTAGGGCTTAGGGTTTAGGGCTTAGGGCTTAGGGCTTAGGGTTTAGGGTTTAGGGTTTAGGGTTTAGGGTTTAGGGTTTAGGGTCTAGGGTTTAGGGTTTAGGGTTTAGGGTTTAGGGTTTAGGGTTTAGGGTTTAGGGCTTAGGGTTTAGGGTTTAGGGTTTAGGGTTTAGGGTTTGGGGTATTCGGGACACTGACAGACTGAGGGCTTGCAGGTACTTACAGATTCTAGTGTTTCGGAGAGGGCTTCGGGGGCGCGCGTGCCTCCTCAACGAAGAGGTCGTCGTGGCTCTTCCCGGGCTTCAGTCGCACACGGAGCTGGTGTGGTGGAGTGATGTAGGAGGAGACCTGCACAAGGCAGAAATACTGAGAAGACATGAGCAGAAAAGCATGATAAACCCTAAACCCTAAGCCCTAAGCCCTAAGCCCTAAGCCCTAAACCCTAAACCCTAAACCCTAAACCAGCTTTTTCATTCGTTGAGTCGAGAGCTCTCCGCGTGCCAGACGCAAAGCCCAGGTTGCAGAGCTCGGCCGTCAGCGCCACGAACTCCGCCGGGCCCATGGCCACGGCCGGCTTTGCTGGGTCCACGCCCGCCCGCGCCATCGCCAAGCGCCAAGTCTCTGGAAGGATCCGAGATGCCACCTGCTCCTCCACCTCCGTCAGACGGGCTTCCAAGCCCAAACCCCGGCTTGGGCCCCGGACATCCAGCAAGAGCCGCAGCAGCTGGTCTAGAGCCGCCGCGGAGACCTCTACACCCTTGTGGCGCAGCGCGTCGTGGAGCTCCAAGAGGACCACCGCGGAGTCCACGCGCGGAGGCGGCGAGAAGACGTCCGGCGGGAGAATGCCGGGGATCGCGAACTGGGCGTTGGAGCAAAGCGCCTGAACCAGCGCCGAAACGCGTCCGAACTTTATGGAGCCGGGCTTCGCCAGAAGCTTTCGGACGAACTCAGCCTGCAACGTCAAGACAATCCTGTGCATGAGGGGCTCCTGGCACAGCAGCTTGCTGACCACAGCAGTCGAGATTCTGTAGGGAATGTTGCCGACAGCAACTTGGCAGCGGCTGGGCACCGCGCGGCAGGACAGGAAGTCGCCCTTAAAGACAAAGCAGCGGCTGCTGCCGACCAGGTGATCTTCCCATGCCTCCCTCGACAGCGTGCGGGCCACCTCAGGGACGTCCCTGGAAATTGGATGGTATCGCCGTATCACGCCGCCCTTCTCCTTATATGGTTCCCGAAAAACCGAATAAGCATTCAAGGGCAAAAACTCGCAAAAAAGACGAACCTTCTTACGTTAATGGGAGGGAGCCTGACTAGTTCACGGCAAAAAAGAGGTGGGGAAAACACGTACCTCTGAAAGGTCCCTAGTCTCCATGGCCTGGGACAGGATCCGCTCATCCAGCTCGAAGCCCACCACACCCTCGCATGACGGGCTTTGCAGCAACGCAGTCGTCAGTGCGCCGGCTCCGACCCCCACCTCCACCACCCAGCTCTCCTCTCCCTTCAGAGCCACAGAAGCGATCTGCGAGGCGAGCTGCCGGGACCTGAGGATATGCTGGCCGAGACTGGGCATCGATTCCGTGGTGAGCATCACGGCAGCCCTCTCCTGCAGAGACCCTGGAACGAAAAGACTTCCGCACTTGGGGCACCCGAGCCGGCGCTGGATGTGATCACGGGGCTTCATCCAGAAGGTTCCATGCTTCTGGCACTTGATGGCGACCGGTGTGTGGTTGTCCTTGTATTGCGAGTAAGTGTAGTCGAAGAGGTTTCCCCATATCCGTGTGCAATCTGCTTTGAAGGCTTGCTTCCTGTGGCCCGGGTGCAGTCTCATACTCCCCGTCAGCGACGTCGTCGCAAAGTCTCCACGGGTGGAGGCCCCAAACCTCCGTGCTGCACCTGAAGGACCAGATGAACCCGAAAAGAGCTTTATCGTTCATATACCCGCCTAGGAACTATGAGTAATTCCATTGGACCTATGGCCCAATTTTTCGGGTTCCCATAAACCCGAATAGGAGCTATAGTCATTCTATATCGGGCCTATGGTCCCAATTTTTGGGGATCCTTTGAAACCCTAAATCCTAAACCCTAAACCCTAAACCCTAAACCCTAAACCACTTTGGTCCCAAGGGCAGCTCCGCATTGCAGACTGAACCCCTCTTCGGCGACCACCCAGGGTCAGCGAGGCCATCCCTGGCGCTCCCTTCGCTAAGCCATCGCAGCGCAGGGTTTAGGGCTTAGGGTTTAGGGCTTTATAGGGTTTAGGACTTTTATAGGATTTAGGGGCTTTACAGTGTTTAGGAGCTTTTTAGGGTGTATAGGGTTTAGGGTTTTGTATGGTTTCGGGTTTAGGGTTTAGGTATTAGGGGTTTAGGGTCCAAACATCCCAGGACAACATGTTAGGGAAGTGATTCCATGGATCTGGGTCTACTTTCTGCAGGTTCCCTTTAGGAAGCCTATCTTGGGGTTCGATAGCATCTACAATGACAGGGCCTTTTGACCGAATCCCCACCCCCGCCTAATCTTGAATATTTCCGTGAGAAATTACTGAATTCCTACTGTTTGCTTGAGAAGCACTCACAAGTGAAAGGATTCTTCGGTATAAGGGCAATTTAGGGAATCCTACTCTGTATTTTGCGGGGATCCTAAGCACACAGTAGATTCTTGGGACATTCTACTGCTACAACGATTGCAACGTTATGCTCGAAGAGGGGCGGCTGCTCGCCCTCTACCAGGCTAGGCACAGCCCCCCAAACAAAGCGCTCCCTTGTGAGTTTAGGGTTTAGGGTTTAGGGTGAGTCCTCTTTCTCCCACCTCCCCCCCCTCCACCAGCGCAGAACCTCCGAAACCCGCAGCAGTCGCCCAAACCCCTGGACCCTTAAATCCCTAAAAAACCCTACCATTGACCCGAATTCCCCTAGGCCATTGAAACCCAAACCTTACTTTAACTGCCCTTTCAACCTTTCAACATTTGTATTGTATGTAGCCAACAAAAACAGCCTTCACCCCACAGCCTAAGGCCAGCGTTTAGGGTTTAGGGTTTAGGGTTTAGGCTTTTAGGGTTTAGGGTTTAGGGTTTAGGGTTTAGGGTTTAGGGTTTAGGGTTTAGGGTCTAGGGTGTAGGGTTTAGGGTTTAAGGTTTAGGGTTCGAACGGTACCTTATTTTACCCGCCCATGCCCCGGCCCATTGAGAACCAGCAATTTTTTCTTGCCCTGAGACCCATGACCTTAATTAACCTCAAACCCCTCAAGGTCAGCTGTGTTTTTTCTAAACCCTAAACCCTAAACCCTAACCCCTAAACCCTAAACCCTAAACCCTAAACCCTAAACCCTAAACCCTAAACCCAAACCCCAAAACCTAAACCCTAAACCCTAGCCCTAAACTGGAGACCCCAGACCCTAGACCCTGTAGACCCTGGACCAGCCTCGAGGTCCTCCGAAACAGCAAGCTCGAAGGTCTCATTCGATAGGCCCGACTTCAGAGCGGCCTGGGTTTAGGGGTTTTGGGGTTTAGGGTTCGGGTTTAGGGGTTGTTGGGGTTAGAGGATATAGGGTTGAGGGGCTTGAGAAAACTTAGGGTGATTGTCGGAACTCGGCGACTTCTATCCGACGATACAACCCTAAACCCCAAACCCTAAACTTCAAGGGATTCTATAAGGGACTTCTTTTACATCTCCCTGTATATCCCAGTGTAAGGGGTTCTGCCAAGGACACGGACTCCCGAGTTACCGGCTGAGGGCCGGGGCGAGAACGGTTTAGGACTTAGGGTTTAGGGTTTAGGGCTAGGGTTTAGGGTTAGGGTTTAGGGTGAATGTTAGGGGGCTTCCTGAAAAGGAGGGGCAACCATTGCAAGGTTCAGATTCTCTAAATCCCGAAGCCTCCGTAAACCCCCTAAACCTCTAACCCCTCAAGCGCTAAAGCCCGAAACCTCTGAACCTCTAACACCCCCCAAGCCTTTGAGGAAGGAAGGAAGGACGGGGGTGTTAACTCCTAAACCCTAAGCCCTAAACCCTCGACCTCAACCCTAAACCCTGGACCCTAAACCGCTTCTCTTCTACACGCACAGCTGAGCCAAGGGCTTGGTAGAAACCCGGGTTGCCCCGGACCTGCCAGAGCAGCACCCCAGGCTCAAGGTGGGGCATTTTGGCACTTCAGGGCAGCTTGCAAGGTGTTGAGGGTGTTGAGGGTCACCCTAAACCTTAACCCCTAAACCCAGTCTGAAAGGTGCCAGTGATGCCACAACTAACGGTGAAGCCACAGCTGATCCAAGGCCAAGCCCTCTCACCCCTCTTTCTTTAGGGTTTAGGGGCTAGAGGGTTTTAGCGTTTAGGGGTTAAGGGCTTAGGGCTTCAGAATTTGGGGTGTGCAATCACCTGCGGCTCATGATGCAGGGGCCTGGAAGTAGCCCAGGTTTCCCATCACAATGGTGTCATCCGAAGCCTTGGCCAAGTTTCGATGGCTTCAGGCTGCTAGATGTGCGCATGCACAGTATGTGCACACAGTGCATCTACATCTACTTTAAACATCGTGCACATGGTTACTTGTCGTTGTCGTTTTCTTGCCTTTTGATCTTTATACGTAATACACATCTTTATTTTTCGCAATGGAGATCTTGTAAGACATGCACTCTTGAGAGCTGCGGAGGAGATGAACCGTCCTTGCGAATACTGTTCGCCTAAGATGCGCCGCCCTCGACCCTAAACCCAAAACCCTGAACCCTGAACCCTAAACCGTAAACCCTGAACCCTCAACCCTCAACCCTATAAACCCTAAACCCTAAACCCTAAACCCTACTTAATAAAAGAGACCACCAACGAATAAAGTCCCTACGGCCTTAAGTCATAGGCCCGGCCTCCAAAGCTCCCTTGCCCGTGATCTCGAACTGGCCAGGGTCAGAGCTTGGGGCTGAGGGATAGGATTGAGGGCTTAGGGTAAGGGTATGGGGTTTGGGGTCTACAGGGCTTGGGGTCTGGGGTTTAGGGTTTGGGGTTTAGGGTAAGGGTATGGTGTTTGGGGTCTATAGGGCTTGGGGTTTCGGGCTTGGGGTCTGGGGTTTAGGGTTTGGGGTTTAGGGGTTTAAGGTTTGGGGTTTGGGGTTTAGTAGTGGGTCTCGGGCCGGCCCGTGAATGGAGCTTTGCCTGAAGACGGGATCCTAGGGCACTGGCACTCACAGGCACACACCCTCACACACAGTCCAGAACGTGCAGATCGACGGCATCAGCACAAGGAAAATGCACGGATCGCCCTTGACATTAGGGTCCTTTCGAGGATCCTTGTTGGGATAAGGCAGAAACTCATTGAACACAACACTATTGATGAGACTCTATAAAAAAAGCTGGATCCTTGGTTCACATGCACTCATGTCCTGTGTTGACAGGCAGCATGACACCTGTAAACACCACAGACTCTACCTCAACAAAAGTAAGAAGAATTGAACACCCGAAATCTGGAAAAAAAGACAAAACTGCTAAAGTCCTAAAATCCCTCTAAGCAAACCTTAAACACCCCAAGCAGTCCTTGGCATACAAGCATGAACAAGCCCCAAAAACAACCTGAAAAACACCCTCCACGGGGTTTCGGGTTCAGCGTTTCAAAAGGCCTGCATGCCCTTCGCCATGGCGATTGGCCAGCCCTCGTCGCCCAGTATCATGGCCTGGCCTTCCACCTGGCAATTCCACGGAGTTTAGGGCTTAAGGAATAAGCACAGCAGTGGTTTGGGGAGCGGCAGGGAGGGCGGGAGGAGGGGACAGGAGAGGAGGGAGAGGAGGGGAGAGGGCGAGGAGAGGAGGGGAGAGGAGGGGGAAGGGTGTTGGGGATTTGGGGTTTATGGGGTATCATGCCAGCGTCACGTAGAGCTGCCGGAGCACGTACCTGCCACGCACGCGCCAGCGCGCAAAAGCTTCACTCCCCGCTTCGCTCCCCCCCAGGCGCACGTGGTGTCGCAGTTGCTGCCTGCCACGGTTCATTTCAGGGGTTTAGGGTTTAGGGTTTAGGGTTTAGGGTTTTAGGGTTTAGGGTTTTAGGGTTTAGGGTTTAGGGTACGGAAGAAAAGCTGGGCGTGACCTCCTTGGAGGACGTCAACCGGTCGAAGGTTGTCCATGTCATGCTCGGCCTCCGTGGACAGCAGCCCTAGGGTTTAGGGTTTAGGGTTTAGGGTTTGGGGTTTAGGGTTTAGGGTTTAGGGTTTAGGGTTTAGGGTTTAGGGTTTAGGGTTTAGGGTTTAGGGTTTAGGGTTGGGGGTTAGGGGTTAGGGGCTTGCGAAGGCCTCAAGCACACCGAAGAAGCCAAAACCCACGGTCCTAGACCCAAGAGCAAACTAGGAATAAAAAGGGTACCCTTCTTGGTTTACAGGGTTTAGGGTTTAGGGTTTAGGGTTTAGGTTTAGGGTTTAGGGTTTAGGGTTTAGGGTTTAGGGTTTAGGGTTTAGGGTTTAGGGTTTAGGGTTTAGGGTTTAGGGAATCTGGGCCTGCTCTCGGTCCTGGGGATCTTAAGCTACACTCCACAAATGTCGAACCCTTGCAAGGGTGCCTCCTGAGCAGTCACCAGCCAAGTCGGCAACACATGGACTGCAGCCGTCAAGGTGTGCCTGGGCTGCAGCTCACCCGCGTTTCACCAAGGGCGGTCTAATACGGAAATGACAGGACCCTTTTCGAAATATTCAGTCTTAAAGAGAGTCTCAGAAAGATTCCCCGCCAGCTGCTTCTTTACCCCTAAACCCTAAACCCTAAATAGACCGACAAATAAACTCAGTCATGGGCTGCGTGGTCAGCGTGAAGTCCGCCTTGCCACCACCCACCTCCAGCGCACGTTCAGGGTTTTGGGTTGCGGGGTTCAAGGTTTTAGGGGTTTAGGGCTTAAGGTTTTATAGGGTTTAGGGGTTTGTTGAAAAGGGCCTAGGATTTGGAGTGCTTTTAGGTTTGGGGATTTCAGGGCTTAGGGCTCAACGGCTTCTGGGGTTCAAGGGTTTCTAGGCTTTCCGGCTTAGGATGCTAGGGTTTTTAAAAGAGGGGGTCGTTTAGGGATTAGGGCTCAGGGTTGGGCATTTTGGAAGTTTAGGGTCAGCCCAAAATAACAATCTACTGAAGATCTCAGCTGAACCCAGCAAGGTTTCTCAAAAAACCTGTTGAGTCGTCAGGCTTAACCCTAAACCCTAAACCTAAACCCTACACCCTAAACCCTACATCCCTTAAC